TTTTTTTTTTTTTTTTTTCTTTGCAGCTGAATGGTAAAGCAACTATAACCAAAGCTGTGGGAATCCTTCCAATACCAAAAAAAGAAGAAGATGTCAAACCCCACACCAAGTGTCGTGTGGCAGGATGGGGAAGTACCAAAAAAGACTCATGCACAGTCTCAAATGTCTTGAGAGAGGTCAATGTCACTGTGATTGACAGAAGAGTTTGCAATAGTGCAGAGCACTATAATTTTAAACCTATCGTTCAGAACAACATGATCTGTGCTGGTGGCAGGAACGGTGAAGACGATTCATGTGCAGTAAGTAAATTAAAATGTTTAAACATTGTTTGGCTCTAGGAAATGAAAGGTTTAAATTAGGGCTTGTGTAGAAAGAACATGGCAAATGATTATCAGTACCTTTCATAGGATGCAGACCACTGCTTGGCCCTGGAACAGAGGTACGATGCTCAGTCCCTCATGAGATCTGCTCAGGGAATGTTCTTTCTTTTCTAATAACATCATCAGCACATTGTCTAACCACCATTCACAGATGCCCTCTGGCTCTAATATAACCATCTGTTATGACAACTATCGTTTATGATGCTAGGGACTGAGTGCAAAGAATTGTACCACGTTCTATAGTGTTGTGTTGTGCTGCCTAATCCACAAGCAACACCTGAAACAGGTAAGGTAACCATGTCTGTTTCACAGATGAGGCAACAGAACTGTAGGAAGTTACTTAACTTTTCCACATTAAGGAGCATGGCTTCCCAGGGTGGGCTTGGATTTGGACCCAGCTCATCTGACTCCTAACAGTTGCTTGGCTCTGCCTGTCACTATGCCAAAAAGCAGGCTCTACCAGGGTCTGAACCTACTTAGAACACATTGTCCATAAATGGTCTCCATGGCCAGAGAGCACATGTAATGACAGCTAATGAATGCTTAGAGAAAAAGAAAATTCCTAAAAATTGTTCAAAATATCACAAGTACTCTTCTAAGATAACTTAGCTAGTGACCTCCTTGAGGAGGGCATATTTGAGACCTCATCTCGGGTCTTTTATTCACCACAACAGTTTCTTCTCCTGACATACAAAGAATGAGGACACAGAACTTTTTAAGGACCAGCACGATGGCTCAGCAGGTAAAGGTGCCTGCTGCCAGGTCTGAGTTTGATCCCCAGATTCCACATGATGGGAGGAGAGAATCAAGTCTCATAAGTTGTCCTCTGATCATCACACATGTACTTTAGCACACATGTCTACTCACAAGTTGTCCTCTGAACACCACACATGTACTTTGGCACACATGTCTACATACATACACACACACATCATACATAACACATACATTAATAACAAATAAATTTTAAGATCGATCAATGAAAGGAGACCATTGTTTTCACCTTTGAAGGCTTTTCTTGTATCTTCTTTGTCTTGATGCAAATGAGTTTGCACTGCTCCGAAAAGCCTTTTTCAAAAGGAAAAACATGAGAAAAGACAAGCAAACTTGTGTTAGTAGTTCAGGGTAGACAAACAACAAAGGAGACTTTTTGTTTTTCATTTTGCAAAATTTTTTCATAAAATAGCCTTCTTACTCATTTTTGTTGGTCTGTATTTATTGTGCAAAATAATGAGTTTCATTATGAAATTTCCATGTATGTGTATCACATACTTTGCTCACCCTCCCCCCACCCCCGCCCATTGCCCTGTTGGTCCTTCTCCACCTCCTACTGGTCCCCTTTCTCCTCCTAATACACCTCTCCTCATGTTATTTTTTCCCTTGGTTTTTGTCTTTAGACAGGCTCTCACACTGTAGCACAGGCTGGCCCAGAACTCATAGCAATCCTCCTGCCTCGTCCTCCCATTCCTTTTAAAATTTTGTTGTTATTTTGTTTTGTTTTGCTTTTTGAGACGGGAGCTCACTGTATAACCCTGGCTGGCCTGGAACTTACTATGTAAACCAGACTGGCCTTGAACTCATAAATATCTGCCTGCCTCTGCCTTACAACCACTGGAATTAAAGGCATACACCACCACATCTGGCCTTTTATTTTTTAATCTAGCTTCTACATTTAAGAGAAAACATGCAATATTTGTCTTTCTGAGTCTGCCACCTGATGCTTTCCAGTTAGAAGAGGGTTTTGTATGGAATGTTTTGTTTGGTTGGTTGATTTGTTTTGTTTTTTGTTTTGGGGGTTTTTGTTTGTTTGTTTGTTTGTTCGTTTTTTGAGACAGGATCTTCCTGTGGCCCCAGCTGGCCTGGAACACACTAAGTGGACCATGCTGACCTCGGTCTCAGAAATCCACCTCCCTCTCCCTACCCCCAACTCCCTGGTGACACTGGGATTAAAGGCATGTGCCACTATACCTGGCTAAATTAGAGGCGTTTCTAAATAAGCTTTTAAATAGGGAAAGAGAAATAAAAGGCAGGGTGAAGTATGAATGAATAAAATACTGGAAAAATATCTTGAGAAAGCTTCACACTTACAGCACATGCCTTTCTGTTCCAGGGGGATTCTGGAAGCCCTCTGATATGTGATAACATCTTTAGAGGTGTCACTTCCTTTGGGAAGTGTGGTAATCCCAAGAAGCCTGGAGTCTACATTCTTCTTACAAACAAATATCTCAGCTGGATACAGAAAACCATTGCCGGAGTCATATGACACCCTTCCTTCAAAACACACCCCTGATGTAGCTGCCCAGGGGTAAAGCAAAGGGGTTTAAACTTGACCAATTCCAAGAAGCTCTGGGCAGTCCTAAACTCTCTGCACCCACCACAGCCTGTCTGATGCAGTCAGCAATGAAAGAAACAGCTTCCTGCCTGCCCTGCTCTATGATTCCCCAAGACCACAGCTTTACACTTAACTCTCTCTCCATGGCAACAGAGAACCTTAAAAAGATCCTCAGTTCAGAGATGCTTTGCTTTGCTCAGAATTTGAGGACTCTCACTTTCTTGTGCGCACTTAATTCCAGGAAAAATATTCCTCATTCTTCCAAATTTGTATGGCCCTTAGAATTTATAACTTGAGCTGCTATTCTGTATGGAAGTTCAGGGACAGATGGAAAGTTTCTTCCTATGTGTTTTTGTGGGTTTTAATTTTTTTTTAACAAAAAAATGTAAAGACAATTGGAAAGATCAGTGTGTTTAGATATTTGAAATTTTGAAGTTTGAGGCCAGGTATAGTTCAAGGTAATTGCATCACATCGTAATTACAGGTAGACCAAAGTTTCATATGCTAGCAGGCCTCTGTTCAGCCAGCATGCTGTTGTGCACTACACCAAAAATGGTCAACTTACGCATGCAGGCATTAAGTTTACTTCAGTGATATTCTTAAAGAATCATGTTTTATAACAAGAAAGTGACTTCTTTATCATCTACCTATGCTTTTTCTCATGCTTTTTCTCCAAAGTGCTGAATTATAATAAAGTCATCTATTCTCTAGTGATTCTGACTGACTGGTCTGTTTTAATTCATCAACCGTTTCTGAGGTCCCACCATGGGCCAGGTGCTGTGCCAACACTGTACATACAGAGAAACCTGAGGCACAATCACTGTCCTCCAAGTACTCAAAGGCTAGCAGAGAAGGAGAAAGATGCTGAAGTCAGGCTCTGGAGGACATACAGCAGAGAGTGAGGCCCTGGTGTGAGGAAAGCAATTGAAGAAAGATAAACGATGTTTCCAAGAGTACTTCATTCCCATCATCAGCCACAAGAGTTTTCCTCTTGAGGCCTATACAAAATCCAAATTCCTGGCTAGAATTGCCACAGACCTCCAAACCAGCCTGGTAGAAAGATCACTGGTCTACAGAGCCAACACCAGCTCCAGCACTAAAATTGAGCAGAGAACTAATTTGTGCCTCCGTTTTCACATCTCCAAACTGGGAATGAGTAAAATGTAAGAATTTTAGTCCCAGAATTCAAAGTCAAAAATTATCCATCATTCCTTCTGCAATGGTTACAATTAAAAAAAAAAAAAAAAAAACAACTGACAGCAGCAAATGTTGGTGAGGATGTGGGAAAACTGGAACTTTATAAAGTTTTTCTACACTGGTGGTAGAAAGTGACATGGCACAGCCACTGTGGAAAATGGTTTTGTAGTACCTCAAAGGTTAGAGTTACCATATGAGCCAACAGTTTCATTCTTAAGTATATCAAGAGAAATGAAAGTGTATGTCCCTACAAAGACAGAGCACAAGCATTCATAGCAACATTATTTATACTGGTTAAAAAGTAGAACTAGGGACTGGAGAGATTACTCAGCAGTTAAGAGTGCATACTATTCCAGAGAACCAGAGCTCAGTTCCCAGCACCCAAGGTGAGCAGCTCACAACTGCCTGTAACTCCAACTCCAGAGGATCTAACAGCCTCTTCTGGCCTCTGTGGGCACCAACATTCATGTGCAAATACCATCACACAGACACACATATATGCATATTTTTAAAATAATAAAATCTAAAAGAGGTAGAAATAACCCCAAAGTCCAACTACTAATACATAGATAGATCATAGATAATAGATAGATAACAGATAGATGATAGATAGATAGATAGATAGATGATAAATAGATAGTTATAAAGATTTGTATGTTCCCATGCAATTGAATGTTGTTCAGCCTTAACAAAGAATGAAATGCTGAGACATTCTAGGATAGCCTAAATAAGAATGACTGAACATGGGTGAACCTTGAAAATATGCTAAATGAAAGAAAGCAGACACCAAAAGCCATATATTGCATGATTCTAATAACACCCAATAATTCTAAACTAGATAATGACATAGGTAAGGTCTGCCTGCAGGTGTGGTTCAGTAACAGAGCATTTGCCTAGCATGTACAAGACCCTGGGTTTGATCCCTAGTACTGGAGGGGGAAAAGGGCATGGTAAGGGTGCTCAACTTTGCCATTTATGGATATACTAAAGCTCACTGAATTAAACAGTTTTAAATGGTAAATGTAAATGGTGTACTTTATGCAGCTTTAAATGTGAATTATATCTCATTTTTTAAAAGTGGTCTGTCATCTGAAACTGAAACCAGAAGCGGCAACTTTCAAGGTTGTGCAGCCCCTCTCAAAGTACCCTGCGGGGTGAATTGCAGAGATGCCTGCAAAGAGATTTGAAGTGAGGGGAATTGCATAGTCTCTATCCAGCATCCTGGAAACTAGGGACTAACTGCAGACCCTCTGTCCTCACTTATCTGTTAAAGGAAAAGAGACTGCACAGCAGAGCTCCTAGAACAGGTTTGATGATGTTAAATGCCAAACCATTGTTTTCTCAAGACATTACAGAAGTGATGCCGATGCCAGAGGCCTGGTACCAGATTCTTAGGGAAATCAATACATCAGAAAGAGGAAAGTCTGGCTGAAAACAAAAATAATGGGAATCAGAGAAGGAAGGAGGGACGTGAATTATTTAGTCCCGTGTAGCCAAGCAGGTGATTGTCTTGAGAGGATGAGCTTCAAGCAAGTGAAAAATGCCACTGATCCTACCAGATAAACCTACTGGGATATATCTGCTTTCTGCACAGAACCCACCCACTGCAAATGTGAACGTGGGTAACCCTCCCACCAACTCAGACTTCAGCTCCTGCCTCTCCACAGCCTCTTCCACCATACTCCATTGTCACTCGATTCCATCAGCACAAGAGCCACTCTTAGCCTTCTCAGCCAAAAACGAAAAAGAACCACCTCTCCATACAACTCTTCATTTCTTGCCTTCCCATCAAAACTCCAAGTGAGCAATGTGTCCAATTTCTCTCCTCCCATTCGCTCTCAAACTCCATCATGGCTTTGACTCACATTCCAAAGAAATGGCTGTCAAGGCCTTCACCTGGTAACCTTGTTAACCTCATTGAATGTGGTGATCAGTTCTCAGCCCTTTATTTGCCTTGTCAGCAATATGTGACCCCATTATAGCCCCCCACCCCACCGACACTCCAGTTTCCTGGTTCTCCTACCTCACAGGTCCCACCTCCTCAGTTACCACTGCTTTGGGATGCTGTTCTCTTCCACCCTCAATGCTGCAGTGCCCCCTGCCTGGTCCTGCCACAGCAAAGTCTCTAGATCCCCACCCCATCCTCACTCCCTTCTCAATAGCATTTAGGCTATTCGATTCTATAGACAGCATGCCATCTCTAAACTGTGTCTTGAGCTCCAACTTCTCCCTAAATCCAGCCACTTACAATTCCATTTGGACATTAAGCTGCCCTCCTGATCGTTTTTACTAAACCTGCTTCAACCCTAGACTTCTATTATTTCATGGCAACTCCACCTTCCCTGGAACTCAGACCAAAAAAATCTGACATCTTTGATTCCTCTTTCTCTTACACTGCACATTCAATCTGCAAGAGTATTGTACCTGCCTAACTACCAAATATATTTAGTATCAACTATCTCTCACTATGTAAGCTGCTCCCACATGGGCCCACACTCCCATCTTCTCTAGCTCAGATCTCTGCACTTGCCTCCTACCTTTCCCCTGCTCAGGCTGTTCCCACACAGTGGCCAAGTGATCCTGTTCAAGCACATCAGAGCATGTCACTCCTCTTCTCAGAACCCTCTGATATCTCATCATTTCCCACAAGGTAAAGGGCAAAGTCCACTCAGTGTCACCTAGGACCTCGAAGTTTCCTCTCCAGCATTTCTCTGACCTCATTCCCTTCTGTGCCCCCTCACTCACTCCTCTGCAGACACTGACCTTTTTTCTCTCCCTCTAACTCACCAAGCATTCAGTCCACTTAGGGCACTTGCCCTGGATTTTCCCTATTTCTAAAAAAACTCCCCTAGATAGCTTCATGACTAATAGAATCCACCTCCTTCAAAATGCTGCCCCCCATCCAGGACACACTCCCTGACCCTTACCCTGACTGTTTATGTATCATTTCCTAATATGTTATTTTCTATCACATTAGTAGTAATGTCTCTTCCCACTGCAACATGAGTTCTGTGTCAGCAAGTGTTCTTGTCTTTTGTTCACTGATGTATCTTCAGTATCTAGATGTTCAATAAATGAATAAATTTAATGAAACTTAACTACTGTCATGTCAGCAAATAAAGGACCTCCTGAACATCTTTATCGCCTCCTCCTCTTTACCCCAAAATAACCTCTACCCTGACTTCTAACATCAGAGTTTAGATCTGCCTAAACAGTGGCTGGTATTTATCTAGACATAATCACTCCTGCAATGCATGTTTTTGTGTGAATTGATTCTTTTACAGAACATTTCATGTGTGAGATTCATCCACAGAGTTACAGATGACAATAGTTCATTAACTCTCCTTGCTGTGTAACAATTCCACAGTCTAAATATGCCACGATGTGTTTAATCTACTAAATTGCTGATAGGATCAGGAGGTTTTCAGTTTGGGATTGTCTAGGGTTGGGCCTCCAGAATCAGACCCTTACAAGAACAGTCTAGGTTTACTAAGAAAGTGCTCCCAGGGGAGACCAGGGGAGACCAGTGGGGGAAATATAACAGAGGGTTAGAGTCTCACACAGAGTCCCCCACCAGACTCCCTCAGGATAACTGTGAAATGTAAATACAGAGTAACTGAGCTTCCATTCTTATCCAGTGAAGGGCTGTCCTCAGTTCCTATCTTCTTGAAAGAATTCGGCCAAGAAATACAGGCAGCACACTGCAGGCAGAAGTTTATTTATCAAAGTTTATTTACCAATCCAAAGAGACCGGAGTGAGCTGTCCTGAAAGAGGGGGTTGCAGTCTACTGTGTTCTGCATTGTGGATTTTACTTTTTGGCAGTTGGAGACTAAACCTAGAGCTTTATGCATGCTAGGCAAGTACTCTACCACTGAGCTATATCCCCAGCCCCACACTGTGGACTGTTAAAGAGTTTTTAATTTATATTTGTGAGGTGGGTTTTCCACAGCAGCTATACCTTTTTATATTCCCATTAGTGGTAACTGAGAGTTTCTGTTATTCTGCTGCTATGGTTTGGATGTTGAATTTTCCTCAGAGGTCCATTGTTATGGACTTGATCTACAGAGTGGTGTTATCAGGAGGTAGTGGAATCTTTAAAAGATAGGGTTTAGTGGGAGTTTCTTAACTCATCAGGAAAACATGGACACCTCTTGAAAAAGACTGTGGATATTCTCTAGCTAGCTATCTTTCTCACAGTATCTGCTTTGATTCCAGATATGACCCCTGGCTACTACTACACATGCTCCCACCATAATATGCCACCATCTACTGAAACAAACAAAAAATGGTTCCATTTAATCTTGAACTTTGAACCTCCAAAATCAAGTTAAATAAAACTCTTCTTTTTATAAATATCAAAGCATGTGAGGAAGAGCCAGAGCTGTTCTGACTCCTGAGGCCGGCCTCCTTGGTTTATCTTCTTGTTGTATCTCTGTCTGGTCACTCCTCTGTGTCTTACTCTCC